CCAACCCTCTCTCCTTTCCTTACTGTGACAGCATTTTCAATGCTGTCTACTACATGCAGTCAATTATCCCAGTCACTATCACACAGAACACTAATACAAAACAAGCAAGGCAACTGTATATAAAGCAATATAATCAGGAAGAAATAAAACATAAGTCCTCCTTGTAAACTTGAAATAACACTCCTAAATGCTAGCTTTTATCTTTGCAGTATTAAGTGATTTTCATGAAAACTAAGCAAACAATAAGAACATTATTTAAAAGAAAAAGAAGAAAACCAATCATATTTTCATGACACTCATTAAGACTTCTTCTAAGGTCTCAGCTATTCAAGCAACTACCAGCATAGGCTGCTATAGGCAAACTTAGTCGAACCCAGACTAATGGAAGTCTCAAATTACTAGTACTTGCATAAGTCTTCAAATGTCCACAACCACAACAAATCTCAGCATTTTGTTTTCCTAAAATACTCACATGTTCATTTTGGTACCTGAACACAGATATCTCAAACCAAAGTTTTAAATTCTCTTATCATTATGCTTACATTAAGAAACACATGCACAAGCAGGATACACTAAGTGTACAACATTAGAACCAGACGCTATTTAAAGCTATTCTGGCTACCAGCCTGTTCTCTAACCTCACCTTGAGAGAGGTGGCACACTGAACTCTACTTGGAACAACCACTTCCTCCAGACCCACATCCTTCTCCTGAGAAAGCACTGCTGTCACCTGTGTAGATTAGGTTTTAGATGGAAAATTCTCCACTTTTTTTTTTCCTGTATCAAGGAGTTAAGTACAATTATGTTCAGATTTGACCTGGCAAAGCCTGGACAGTTATTCATCTTAATGACAAGAGTTTTGGGGGCCCTTGTTTTTCCTTTGTTTTTCAAACACTTTTGTTCCTCCAACCAGTCCCTTCCCATTGCTCGGTATGTAAATTGTGCTCCTTCCAGGCATGTGGCAAGTGTTCACATAAACAGGTGGTGACAACACTAATCTCCTCAACGGCTTTGAAAACTGTATTGTTTGTCCATATATGAATGAAGTTACTGCAGTTTGTAGAGGCCACTCATAAAAAAATCTATCTTACAGGAAATAACTACATCCACTTTCATCTCACAGCTGTGAAGAGTTATCAATCGGTTGTTTTTTTTGCCATGAAGACTTATCAGAGTAATTTATAAAGGCACTCCCTACACTGTCTAGCCAAGGGTTGACTGAAGCGCTTACAAGCTTTTTTCTCTGCAACATTTTGTATTCACAGGTATCTCCATCATACCAGAAGGGTAACTTCAATTACTAGAAGTTTGATCAACATATATTTTACTTGGATGAAAAATGTTTTGTTCTTTATGCCTAAAAACTAAATTCACAAACTTCAACTAGCAAAAATACTTTGGTTTGAAAAACACTTTTATAATAACAGGATTTAAACTTAACAGACAGCCCTCATTCTTGCATCCTGAAGATGTCAGTTGAGTCCCCTTACCAAAGTATTGAGGACTCACAGCTGCAAAGATGAAAATTAAACCACAACAACCAAACTCTGTATGATTACTGCCCTGTAAGCCATGACTTGATGGCACTCCCTCAAATTCAACTTGGCTTATGTCAGCTGTTTTCAAATACACAGAATTTTCAGTTGAAACTTAGAACACATTTTGAAAAGCTTTATCTTAATAAGTATATAAGATCTAATTTTTATGAAAAGTTAACACATGTACTAACACCTCTCCACACAACCACTTAGACTCTGTGCTACTGGGTTTTCGTATGGTAACAATCTCTTTTCATAATTCCAAGATATTTTACCAGTACTTTCAAGTCACAACAGTGCACTTTTTTAATTAAAAAATGGATAATTGTCTATACATTCATAGTTCAAAACATATCCTACTCTCAGTTTACACAGCAATTTCTAATCTCCAATTTATATATAGGACAGAAAGGCACTTCCTACAACCACTGTGTTTTCTCCTTCAAAATGTAATCACTTGCCCGGCCCTCAACTCTGCTTCCTTTGCTATTAATCCTGCCACAAAGGTGACAGACCTAACAAGGTACTCTGTTCTTTTCAACTTCAAATAATGAAATTCAGATACCAAATATGTAACAGAAAGTAAGCTGCCTCAATTTCTTCCAATTCCAATAAAAGGATTCCTCATTTACATTCAAGACACAGAGTCTTTATGTGCTCCTACTACCACCACCTCACTTCCAGTTCAGCTGCTTTCCTCACATTTCAACTGCAACTTTATTTCCCCAACAACTCAAGAGTTTAAATTTACATAACCAAAGTGAAAACTGGAAATGTGCACATTTCAAGTGATGTGAACCTAGCTGCTGTTCAATATCCTAACAAAATCTTCCAAATAATGAAACTCCATTTTTCGGGCTACTTTAATTCTACTTCAAGCTCAGTCTTACAAAAGGACAGGAGGAAAGCCAATAACCCCACTTGGCAGCTCAACTGACCAATTTAACCAACCCAAGATTAGAACTGATTGTTTAGGCAGGCTTTTTGTTGTTGTTTGGGGTTTTCTTCTCCTCCTAGAAAACACTGCAACATATTTACTCTTTTAAGTAACAGCTAGAGTTTTGCTAATATTCTCTGCAAGTGACAGGAAAAAGAAAGCATTTGTCACTGTAAATTCTGTAAAGAGAAAATATTTTGTCTGCTCCTAAGTGCACCAAACAAAGTTTTTTCCTTATTCATTGATCTCTGCGCCCTTTGTGTTCCACTGAAAAAAAAAGTGCCTCTTGTTCAAACAAAGGGAAGCACCGGAGATCTCTTAATAGACCCTCTCCTTATAGAAGAGTGGATCATGCACAGAGGCGGAATTCAAAGAGCTCTTCTCAATGCCAAACACCCACAAGAGATGCCAGAACATTTTCCAGTGTATGTTAGATCCCAGACTGAACCAGATAACCTTCACATGTAAATACGGAAATAAGAATGCCAGTTGTTAAATATGTTCTAAGAGTTTTTTGACAAGCATGTCCTTCTACTGCTTTAAGATTTTCAGATGTTGCTAGACTGAGCTCAGTGCAACTTCCCTGTTACCAGAAGCTATCAGCATCAGAAGTCATCACTGCACCACTTACGAGCTTACCAGCTGTAGCATCCCTCAACCCACACATAAATGTGGAAGTTGATTATTAATCCAGCTGGCAGGGTCTTCCAAAACTGCAAGATTACTACACAAGCACCCATTTGTAACTACACTAGGCAGACTACTGTGTGTAAGCCTACTGTTCTAATTTGTCATTTTGTTTTCATCGGGATTTTTTCCTGGGAACAATAAAGCTCGGTCCTTTTTCCACAATAAAACCCACCAAGGCCAGCACCCTGACAAGGAGTTTCACATTCAATGGCTCTCATGTGAAGCAGGTTGCCTCGGGAGCATCAAGCCCTCCAGAGAGGACACAGCCCCCTGTTCGGACCCTCTATCCGCGCAAACGCAGCTGCCAGCCCTGCTTCAAGGATGCCTGCTACAAATCACACCTCCTCCTTCACCCTCGTGAAACCAAACACACTGAGCAGCACCACCGACCGCAAGCAGCACTGATACGCCGTTTCCCACTTCCCTCGCGGACTTTCCTTAAAAACCCAGTGAACGCAGCTTTTACTACTATTATTACTACTGCCATCATTATTTTTCACACACGAAATCGGCCAACCCCCTCATCTTTCCTGCGGTGAGTCTGCATTTCCCTTGCTCGCCGCTCCTTTTTAGGCATCCAAAAGGAGCAAGTGCCCAGCCCTGCCCGGCCGCTCCGCCCGGAGCGATGGCCGGGGGGTGCCCTGGGGGCCGCGGAGCCGCCGGCGGAGCGGACGGAGGGGAGGAGCCGCCGCCGCTCGGGGGAGGGCAGCCGGCACCGGGGGGAGGCTCTGTAGCCGCCGCCGCCCAGGCTGCCGGCACGGCTCCGTCCCCGCCGCCGGCGGTCCGTGCGGCCCGGGCAGTCCTGCCTTCCTCGCCGCTATCCCCCGGGGAAGAGTGTCTAGGCGGCGGGCGCAGCCGCCCTCTCCGCCCGGTTGCGTGCCGAGAGTAAACACCGAGGGAGAAGGCAGCCTCCATTTTTTTTATCCCGGCAGCCTGTCAACAGGCTCCCCCCCTTCCCCTCCCGATCCTCCACGCCGAGCCCGGCTTCCCAGCCGTCAGCGCCCGAGAGTCGCTGCTTCCCTGCCTCAGCCGAGGCAGCGACACCTCTTAACACGGGCTTCGCTTTTTGTCTGCCTCTTTCGGTTCTCCTTAGAACATGCACTTTCCATGCCGCTTCTCCCATCCCTGCCCTGTGCCGCCACCCAGCAGCACAGCACCGGAGGAGCGCTGCCTTTTATAGCGGTGTCATCCTTGCCTGCTCGCCGGCGTCCCCGGGGGGCCCGGCCGGCGCAACGGGCTCCCCGCAGCCCTGCGGCCCCCCTCACCCTACGCGCCCCTCAGACACCCTGGGCTTCCCGGATCGGAGCAGCTTCCCCCTCCCGCCCCGCAACCGCCGGCAGGACATTTTCGGGGGACTCGGGTCCGCCTGACGCTGGGTGGTGCCGCCCGGCCCCGGTGACGCGCCCGCTACCGGGCCGGCATGGGAGGCAGAATCGCACCTGTCACCGGCGACACCGCCCCGGGGCGACAGCAGCCCCGCACCCTCCCGGCCGGGCCGCTCCGCCGCCGCCCCCGTTTTCACGCCTCGGTTCTGCCGGCGAGGGTGGCGTCCCGCCCGCGAGTTGCCGTGGCTAAGCCCCGCTGTCCCCGGCACGGGACGGGAGGCTCGGGTCTGTTCCCCGCCGCCTCCCCGAGGAACGGACGGGCTGTGCCGAGGCGGCCCCGGCGGCGAGAGGCGGGCGAGTCTTCCCCGAGGCCACCTGACAAAGCCGGCTGCCCTCTCCTCCTTTCTCGGCTCCAGGGGGAAGACGTCGCTTCCCCAGGGCCACCTTTCGCCTCTACCTCCAGCCGCGGTCTCGCGGTCCTCTGTTCCCCCAGGACAGGAGCGCACTCACCGGATCGGAAGAACGCCGCGATGTCCGCCGAGTCCTTGGCCGCCTCCTCTGCCCCTTCCCCCGCGCCGCTGCCGGCCGTGGTGGCGGCGGAGGTGGCGGTAGCGGCGCTGCTCATGGCTGCTGCTGCTGCTGCGTGTGCCGGCGGCGGTGGCTCCACCGGGCGAGACCCGCCGCCGACCTCGCCGCCCCCTCCGCGGATCCCGGCTTCACCTCCAGGCGGGAGCGGCCGTCAGGGCGGCAGCCGGAGCGGGCGAGCGATGCGGGGCGGCGGCGGGCGGCCGCAGCGAGCGCAGGGACATGAAGGTATGTGCGGAATGGCAGCTCCGGGAGCGCCCACCCCCCGCAGCCACCTAGGAGGCGGCGTGTGCATGCAGGGAGTCCGGGCGGGCGGGCGGGCGGCAGCCGGAGCGCAGACAATCGCGGGAGGAGGAGAAGGAGGAGGAGGAGGGCGACGACGACGACGGCATGGGAAGGGCCAGCGGTCCGCGCAGTGAGCAGCCAGTGGGCGGAGAAAAAAAGGAACGTTTCCAACCTTTTTTTTTTTTTCCTCCTTTTCTCCTTCTTTTTTTTTTTTTTTTTTTTTTTTAGAAGGAGCGAGGAGCGATCCGGAGGAGCAGCAGCTGCCCTAGCCACCGCGGTGCCAGTGGCCGCAGCAACCACCGTCCTCCATCTTGACTGGGAGGAGGAGGAGGGTGGGAAGGGGGAGTCGGGAAAGGAAGCGAGTCCCCGCCCGAGGAACAAGGGCGGTGGAGCCGGGAGCGGGGGGAGCTCGGGAGTCTCCGGCTGCGTCCGGCACCGCTCGGGATGGGGCGGGGCTGGGCGGTGCGGTGCAGGACGTCAGCGCTCCCGCCGGGCCCGTGTGCCCTGGCTGGGCCGCGGCGGCCGGGACTTCCCGGCGGCGCCACCGCCCTCTGGGAGCTGTGGGTTTGCTCTTCGGGTTTGGGGTTTCTTTTTGTTTGGTTGGCGGGTTTTTTGGTGCTTCCGGCTGGCCTTCGCCCTACTCCCTGCTCGCCGGTGTGCGGAGGTCGGAGTGGAGGTCCGGAAAAAAAACCCAAAAACCTAAGCAAATCCAGTCCGTCCGCCCCCGGGGTGGGGGCGAGCGGCGGGAGCGTGGGAAGCGGCGCGTGCCCCGTGCTCCTGCCTGCCGCTCCCCGAGCGCCGAGCGCCGCCGGCCTCCGCGGGGCCGTGCTCGGGAAGAGACCCCTGCCCAAGGTCGGAAGGAGCTTGGCTTACCTGTGGAAGGCACAAGGAAAAAGGGATGCGTAGATTTGTTTTAAAAGGTGCCTTTAAAAGGTTTCCGTTACACTGCTGTCTGTATTGTGGATATTTTCTGTTATCACGGGGACACTTCAGAAGATTTTATGCTGTGGCTTGGTTCAATTAATATCAAATAAGCAAACAGCTCACGATAGGGAGGTTATGATGTGCCCCATCACCGTCCTGATCTTCATGCTAAGGCATTTTGCGTCCAGGTGAGGTTGAGGAGAGGGTGTCAGAGCAGGAATCGTAGCAGTTTCACAGATTGATTAATTTGAGCAACAAACATCAATCTTTTGTGGTAAATGGTAAATCGTTAGCACACTTGAAATGCAGAAGTACAGCTTCAGGAATTAAACTCCTGAAGCTTTGGTAAGTGTTGAAAGAATGGTAAGTGCAAGAGAAATGTGGTTCGTAGAATCATAGAATATCCTGAGTTGGAAGTGAGTCACAAGGATCGTCCTAGGATCCCGCACAGGACCACCCCGAGAATCCCACATGTGCCTGAGAACATTGTCCAAACACTTCTTCAACTTCAGCAGGCTGTGGGTTATGAACACTTCCCTAGGGAGCTCAGTGCCCAACTAGCCTCTGGGAGAAGAATATTTTCCTAATGCCCAACCTCCCCTGGCAGAGCTCATATCCTTCCCTCGGGTCCTGTGGGAATCCTGACAGGTTCTGTTAGTTTATCAGTCAGATGATGAGGAAGTCATCTGCAAGGTTTCCAAGGTTTGTATTTATCTCAAGTTGTATAGCTTGATGAAAAAGCTTTTGTGCAATCATGCCTGCCCTAATTTATCTTAGAAGGGATTTGTTTGACTGAAAAGATTTTTTTAATGTTTTTCTTTCAGACAGCAGGCCCAGGAAAGAGTTCCAAATTAGCATCCCGCTGGCAGAAGTGGTTGCAACATTAATTTCTTTCTAACTGGCACCATCCACTAGCAAAAAGCATGAATGGAACAAACACTGCTGTTCCCTACCAAGCAGTGAGTTGACCTAGGGGTAGGAATAGAATATTGTATATCTGCCCAGAAGAAAAAGCCAATCTGCATAAGAATATGAGAAAATTGGGTAAGTGCATGGAAGGTGTTAATATAATGAGTAAAGAAGAGAATAGGAATCCATCATTCCAGCTTTCAGTGACTAGAAAGCAAGAAGTGCTTGAGATTACTTGTTTTCCAGATTTGAAAAAAGACATCAATATGCTGTGCTACTCTGAAAAAAGCTTTAGAAGGCTTTTCATTTGTTGTTGAACACTCTGACTTTCGGATCCCAGTTAGTTGCTCTTCCAGCACACTACAAATTCTAAGTGGGCACTAAAAAGGCAAGGTTAATTTGAACACTTTTGAAGGATGTGTGACTCAAGTTTGCCCCTTCCTTTGTCCCCTCCATCTGCTGAATTGCGAGAGATGCTGGGTTTGCTTTTTTCTTAGTACATGGATGCCCTGAGCCATGTCCCCCACTACAGGAGCCTTTCATCACTGAAAGTGATTGAGAAGAAGTTGTAATCAGCAACGAAAGTGGCCCTTACAGAAAATCCTTCAAGAGCCAAAAATGCTCATATCCTTTGCACAATTAATAAGATTATAGTAATGCATAGGGTTCATGCTAATGTTCAGAATGCAATATTTATTGAAGGGTAAGTAAAAAGAAAGAGACAAATATAGGAAAATGACATTATGACAAAGTTACTTAACACACTTATAAAACAAGGATTTAGTTCACAGTTACGCATCTTAAGTATAAAATCCCAGATTTAATATTTTGCCATTAGGAAATTAAGTTTCTGAGTCTGGTTCTTGTTGGTCATTTTAGGCTTCAAAGAAAAACAAACCAGGTATGAATTGTCTATATGGAGAATATCCCACATTGGAAATTTGTGTGAATTTGAAAGCCTATCATTAGGGAATAGCCATAGTGTCCTCAACTCCTGCATTGCTTATCTCAGTTTTTGTCAGCCTGGAAGTGTTTTTGCACCATTTGCAGTGGTAAATGTAGGAATGAAAAAAATATTCATGGTGTAAAACATACTTTAGCAGTAATGTGATCTGTCAAATACCAATAGTGTTAAGGCACAGATTCAAGTTAGGGTTTTAGATTGTATACTAGGAGTTTTAAATATTAATGATGTCCAAGTTCTGTGCTTAATTTCTCTATTTTATATGTGTATATAAAGCATTTAATTTTATGTAAGCATAGTGTTCAAAAATATTTATACTCCAATAAAATAAATGCCCAAAGAGAAGTGTTGTTTCATTTGAACGCCCTTTATTTTTACTTTGTTTTGTCTAACTGTGGTTGAATGGTCACTCCAAAATGAGAATGCCAAACACAAAACTTTATTCCTGTCAAAGAGGTGTCTTGTGAGGGAAGAAGCTTGCCCAGAGCCTAGCTATGTGTATTCAGGCTGAGAAGTGTCACATGTCACTTCATGTTTCATCCCGAAAGGAATTTGCAGACTTGATATTTCTTGAGTTCTTTTCCTGCAGTATTTGCTGCCCACTTGATCAAGAAAACAAAGAACGAAGATTTCCCCATTTCTCCAAGACATTAATAAAAGCAGGGCAAGCTTGATTTAAAAATCACTAATATTTACAAACTTTTGAGAAGTAAACTAGAAACTCACTAGTTTGGACAAAGTAGGAGACAGGAGATGGTATTGATCTGGGGCCATCAATTGAAGTTGTCTTCTTGCTTAGAAAAAGAGTCATGGAAAAAGAGACTTCAATTATGAAAAAAAAAAATCAAAAATGCACAACAACAAAACCCAGCCAACAACTAGATTTTTACAATGGAGTTCTCTTCTTGTAGCTGTTTTACAAGCTTCATTATTCATTTTATAAACAAAAGCACAGAACATAGAGAGTAATGTGGGGACAAGTCTTCCATATGGAAAACACTATAAGGGAAAATGCACATCGACTTCAGGCCAGCCTCTAAGAACTGTTTCTTGCAACCCTTATTTTTCTGCAGCAGGCTTTTGGGGGACTCAAATCTATAAAACAAGTTATAAACACAGTAAGTAATAGAGAAGGCCGTATCAGGTGCTACTGTGCTTTTAAGATGATAAGGCTTCTTTCAAGTTTGCAGCAGTTAAGGAAAGCAATCAAGAGTTATTAATGTGCACCACCTTGGAGTTGCTATCTGGTTACTGATCTAAATGGTGTTTGTGTTATAGCAACATTCATCAATTTCAAATTGTTCTCAGTGCTCATGGTGTATCTCTTCTATCTGTAGACGGGCTTTGAGGCATTTTCCAGCTGTTATCATTATTATTGCCCTCTTTTCCACAGAAGCATCCAAGTCTTTTTAAAAAGTTGTCTTGAACAGTATTAAGCTTATGTGTTCCACTTCCTTATCCTATAAAATTGTTGTTTCATTGTATGAGTTCTGGCAGCTTTTGAAACCCTGTTTATTCATAAATTTTTTTCTATTTTTCTGCAAAACTATTTTTTTTTTTTAGCAGATGATGCACCTATCACCTATATCAAGTATTGTCAGTCTAACTGAAAATATTTTCTCCATACTTTCCGTGGTACAACCTGACATGTACAAGTTTGAGAAGTGAGCCCATGGTAACCTCATGAGTTTTAGCAAGACCAAGTACAAGGTGCTGCTGGCCAGTATCAACCCAGGCTGGCGGATGAACAGATCCAGAGCAGTTCCAGAAGGACTTGGGGATGTTGGAATGGCTGGACATGACCCAGCCATGTGCACTCACAGCCCAGAAATCCAGCTGTGTCCTGGGCTGCATCCAAAGCAACGTGGGCAGCAGGGTGAGGGAGGGGATTCTGCCCCTCTGCTCTGCTGAGACCCCACCTGCGGTGTTGCAGCCAGATCTGGGGTCCCAGCATAAGAAGGGCATGGCCTGTTGGAGTGAGTCCAGAGGAGGGACACAAAGATTATTAGAGGGATGGAGCATCTCCCCTATGAGAAAAGGCTGAGAGAGTTGTGTCTGTTCAGCCTGGAAAAGAAAAGGCTTCACGTAACCTAAATGGGGCCTTCCAATA